AAAATACGAGCTATCCGGCGGACGAATAAAAATACGGAAAATCTTATTTTCTGTGAAGAGAAAATAGCTAAAATAAGTAAAAATACGGAAGGGTGGGTTAGCAGCTAGGATGTAGTTTGAATTTTTTGTTTATCTTTGAAAATCATAAATAAATATCATTATTTTATTTTAACGATTGAATTTTCAAAAAAAAAAAAAATCGGGATATTATTTTTTTTTAAAAAAAAAACGAAACTTTTAGAGAATCCGAGTTTTTTATAAAAAGGCTGAAATTCGAAAGGCAAAAGCGAAAAATTCTCATCTCTGTATAAAGGTCAACCAGTTTTATCCCAAGGAAATGATTTTTTGAGAAACTTCAGAGGGAGGAATGAGGACTTCAATGCTTTCACTCCGAGGAAAATTAAATTCCTCATAAAATATTTTAACTTGCTCAAAAAAAATTTTCGCGGAAATTAGTGGGAAAAATGGAAAAATCTAAAAAGAAGCGGAAATCCGCGGAAGAATCTCATCCCTGTATAACATTAAAAAATTTTTTTTATACACTTGTATCAAGTTTGTATTTATACAACATAACTTGTAAGTTCCTTATAAATATTAGTTATATGTTCCTAATATGTCGAAAATGCATAGTAATAAACTTTTAATTTTCTTAAATATCAAAAAAAAATTTTTTTTAAAAAAACATAAATATTTAAAAAAATTTTGTGCAAAATTTTTCTGCACATGCATTTGAATATAAATTTCTGAGATTTTAAATCTGTTATTTTACCTTAATTTTAATTAAAAAATATTTTAAAGCCTGCTGATTATCTATAGTATAATTAAATTTCATTATAATGCATGGCAACTATTGGTAGTTTTGAAGTTTATATATTTTCTTGGCAAACTTCTGTTTTTGACGGTTTAAACCAGTAGTATACCCTTGTCATGTCAAAAACCACTTTTTGACGTCAAAAACCCAACCCTGATACAAATATTTTAAAATTTAACCTGGTATTATTTGGTATTTAACCTGGTATTATTTGGTATTTAACCTATACTGCTGAACGCAGAATATTCATTTCGGACGAATAAAGGAAGAAGTGTTTGCCGAAGACAAAACTTAGTTGGTTTACATTTGTCTTTCTCCTTTCTCCCCCCTTCCTGGGAAGGGTATATTCGATTAACAACACAATAATGAAGATAAACAAATTTGTGAAGGGTCCGATTAAAAGATAAAAATGGACCCTTCGCAAAATAATTTAAGTTAAAATATTTTGTGAAGGGTACGTTTTTATGAAAAGATATTTCGTAAAGGGCCCGTTTACGGACCCAAATTTCTTCTAAACTGCACTTAATGGTCCAAAAACTTACAATTGCATGATTAATGTTACGGTGCACATCAAAAATTAGTCATTACAATTTTGTACAGTTAGTATTTAATTACAATAAAAAATTAGTAATCTGTTTCACTCTAAGACGAATTAAGTCCATTACCACATATTGATTAAAGATTAGTATTTATTAAAACTAAATTTTTAAAAAAAAGCTAAAATAATATTAGTAAACAGATTCAACATATAGATTAAAATGCTTAGAGCAAATAAATAAATGAAAACAGAAAATGCAAGAACTAACAAAATATTATATTAAAAATTGATTATCTAAGGATTATAATATTCTAAATTAGTCAATTCTAAAAGAGTAATGAACAATTTTTTATTGACGAACAATTATACTGTCAGTAGGTACATGAATACTAAGCACAACACAACAGGTAAATTAGAAATATCAACATTTAAATAAAAAAATTATGTCACTTTCAATTACTGTCACTTTAGATTAGCACGTAAAAGAGAAAAAGCTAAAATTATTAAAAATGTGGAAGGGTTGGCAGCCACATAGTTTGAATTTTCTGTTTATCTATGAAAATCAGAAAGAAATATAAATTATTTTATTATAACGGCTGAATTTTCAGAAAAAGGGAAATATTTATAAAAAAACTTTAACTTTTAGAGAATCGGAGATTTTGATGAAAAGGCTGAAATTCAGAGACAAAAGCGAAAAAGGCGGAAATTCGCTAAAAAGTGGAAAAATCTCATCTTTGTACACTCATAATTTTTCCAGATGAAAAATTTTGAAACTAAAATTGAACTAAACTATAACAGTACAATATTTTGAAACTAAAACAGAACAAAAAATTCTTTTAAATGCATGGCATTCGATGTAAAAAAAACTATTAATTAAACCCTGTTTAACTTATTGGGTCCAATTCTGCACATATGCTGGTAAAATCATTTTTTTTTTCCTTTATCACACTTGCAAAAATTTTATTATAACTATGCAATATAATTATTAAAACTAGTTGGAAGTAAATTTGGAATACTTTGGGTAAGGGATAAAAGTGTTTTGACCACAATTCAAGAAATATATAAATAATACATAAAACGAAAAATATACCTGAGGATATTTTATTTCTGTAAGATTTTCAAGAGCAATCACTGTAAACACCAGTGTTTTTCCGGTTCCTGATTTTGCCTGGACAAGTAAGTCTAGTATAGAGAGAGAAATTTTATTTTAAGTTACTGATAATATTCTGAGAATAAGTATTGCATTTTACAAGAGAAGAAAAAAATGTATAATATAATGGGTGAAAGCAATAAAATAGTACCCCTTCCAAAGCGGCCCACAGGAATTGATTCTAGTTGAATGGGAGATGGAGTTTTATATCCAGCATTCTCAAGACCCATTAAAATTTTGTCCGGCAAAAGCAAAGAAGAAAAATTCGCTTCTTCTTGTAGGCGAACATCATCTGAACGCCATTTCTTTTCAAAAATATGCGCTGTTCTCACACATCTAGGCATCGCAAGATAATGGAAATGTGCAATTCAATATTTTAATGTTAAACTTTTATTAAATACGTCGAACAGAAGGAATTAACCAAATTATACGAGTGCCTGCATTGTTTACTGGCAAAACAAAAGTAAAAAGGCACGGATTCGAGTTTTTCTCAAAATAAGTGGCAGTTACAGTTATTTAGTAGATGTGATGCAATTTTTGATTCCACCCCCCCTATCAAAGGGTCATTTTTACTCTATGCAAAAAATTCGCGGACGCGAGTTCGGAGTTCGACTTCAAACTATAAGGAGCCACAAAACAATTCAATGGATGAATGACAATGATTCAGAGCAATGCTGCCAAAAGCACGAAGCGATGAATTTGAGTCTCGCGTGAATTCGACGCGCACATTTGTTCATCGCACAATTTGTCTGAGCGACAGTTCGTCGTGGGTACAATTCGTCGAAGAAACGATTTGTATTGTGCCCAATGGATCGTGGCACTATAGTACAATAGACAGGGTTAGTCCTACGTCATCAACGACGTCACTAGCTCTCCTCGTTCCAAACAAAGTTCTGAACGGAGCAAACAATNGTAGGGACCGAGGGTGTGCGGTATTGGTCCTCGTTAAACTGTTCTACCTTAAAGTCCTCGACTTCACGTGCAGGTTGTTGGGCTACCGAAGCAGGGGTGCCATCCCCTCTGCAGAGGATCAAAATTGTGATGTCTTGTCTTCGGATTATCCTCAGGGATTTTTCCCAGACCGTCGCCAATAGCCCATTGTGCAGCTCTATTGCGATGTAAATTTAACTACAACTACTACTACAAAAACTAAATAAATATTTAATTTGTGACCGTTCAAAAATTACCAACGAGTGGAGGGTTTTGTGATTTGTTTATTGTTACTTATAAGGGAGGGATGAGAGGTGTATATGCCTGCGTAAGGCTTCAAATTGAAAATGATTGTTGTTTCTAGATCTCAGCTTCCAGCATAATAATTTCGCTAACAGATAATAATTAAAAAAAAAAAAAAAGATATGTGTTGGGTGTAAAATATTTTTTAAGTAGTTTAACTTAAGTAGTAGTTTAAGTAGTAGTTAACTGAACAAAATATTTGTGTTTGTCGTAACATATTTGTCGCAAGAAAAGTATTCTACATTTCGACTTTGTTGTTGGAAATATTCTGGATTGCCCAAATTTGAATTTTTAAGCTTAATAAGCATCTCTAAAATATACTCTTAGTAGTATTTTTTCTTATTTTTCCTTCCTTTATTATTTTAGTTACATAAGAAATTAATAATACATTAATAATATAACTGTATTAAATTTAATTAGTTTTAAATTATTGTATGTAAGTACTATATAAGAAATTTGACTTTCACAGCAAACACCATGAGCGTTTCATCGCGGAAACATAGATTTTTTAGGATAGAAGACCAGTAAAAGTTTCAAGCAAAAAATTGTTTAAACATAATGATAAAGGAATATTCTAAATATTTTTTCATCAAAAGAGCAGATTTTTTTTACAGTAGCACAATAATTACGCTACCGTAGTGTTTCAAAAGGCAAACATTAAATTGAATTAACTAAACGCTGCAGGTGACAGATAAATTATGAAGACATGCAAAAATGTGCAATATAATGATTACGGCATGTTACGATAAATCCTCTATTACGACAAATTTCCTAGTCACCGCCAAAATCCTGAAAATAAGGATCCGAAAATTGCATGTTCATAACGAATTGAAAATTATTAGCTTTTCACTATTATAACAAAATTGGAGGAGACATTTGTATTATTTTCTGATACCAACCAAGAAAAGTGAAAAAACGAACATCGTTTCCTTCTTATAATTTTAAAAAATTATTTTAATGAAACAATCTGCCTACGATGATCGGATAAGTTTTATCTTCTTTCCAACAAAAGAAAAATTCCATTCCTGCTTTTGAAATTCCTGACGTGAACTTGAAAAGAATGCACCTTCTGTTGACCACATATCTATTGTGCTCCCTTATTTTCCTAGATTACAACTTTACTATTAAAATTAACATTCACTGTTATCGATGAGGTCAAAAGATATTGCACTATAGTACATATCTAATAGAAATACAATATAGAAAATAAAATGTATACATTATATTTTCTTCTTTCCAAAACTTGTTACAATTTTGGAACAACTAGTTGTTCAAACATTTCTGTTTCAGAAATTTCTGTCTTTTAAGAACTATATAGATCAAGTTTTATAATTTCAATTTGTAGGCAAAAAGCGAACTTTCACTGTTCTTTCTCTAGATAAGCATATCTATTTTCTAAGACGGATTCACATTTTTGACTTTAATCATAAGGAATAGCGGCAAAAATGTGGGCCAAATAGCGTAACTAGGAAAGCCTTCGAGCTTCATAGTGTTAATTTTACTTTTTTGTATTTTACTTAAGACATTGTGCCGGATGTTTTTTTTGAAGTTATACTTCTTATGCGACTTCCAACCAGGGACTGATTTACAGGAGGGCATTCGGGGCACGTGCCCGGGGCCCCCAACATTTGAGGGGCCCCTTTTCCCAATAAATGATCTTTTACATTACATGGCCAATACAAAACCTTGTGTAGAAGATCCCTTTGAAAGAATGTTTAGAACAGGGACAACTATCAAATTACTTGCATTATTTCATTATTCCATTATATCATTACTATTTACTCCGCACTCACACTAGAGCAAAATAATTTGCTATTGACATTATTTATTACAGTATTATAACAACTTTTAATGCTCTAGTGCAAGGCCATTCTTTTTACAAGACTCAGCTATAAACTTCTGTTAGTAATTTTTCTGAAGCTTGTTGCATTAATTAATCATTATTGTAGCGTATCTACCACTACAAAATTACAACTACAATTCACTAGTATATAAGACACGTTAACTTGACTCTATGTCGGGGTACCTTTTCATAGATGACGGTTGACATGGTCTGTAACTACTTTCCCACATTGGTGATCTTCGGACGTGATGTGAACACGCCTACCTTGGCAAAAACGCCCACTTTGATCTGGATACGCCTACATCGGCAGTAACGCCTACTTCGCTGGATGGTCCACACGGAACAGTTGACTTGCTACTTGTGACTGCATCATTATGCACCTCCTCACGTTGTTGCTACTCAGTCTCACCTCGATCACACACAACGTTGGCCTGCATACACTCGACTGCTAACGGCAACACAGGAGCGACTACAACCGTGAAGTTAATACACCTCTCACATTCAGCACTCAAAAAAATACGGTGATCTTAATACAGCTCTCCCGGCTTCGCACAAAACAGCAATGAATCAACTAGTGGCATCCATTCATCGAATTCTATCATAGCTATAATTCTGGTGGGGGAGTACTGTAGCGTATCTACCACTACAAAATTACAACTACAATTCACTAGTATATAAGACATGTTAACTCGACTC